TAATTTGTATCTCACAATCACAACTCCTTGTGATTAACAAATCACCAAGACTTGAATCTACGGATTCTATTATTTAATTTATTAGAATATTAATTCAATTAAATAATAGATATTACCATACATATGCATTGATTATATATATATTCAAAGTGTTTATGTCCAAAGTTGATTGGACTTAGGGCATAACACTTACATGTAGGACATGCATATCACACCACTGTCTATCTTCTCCTTGATGAAATGTTTATCCACTTCTACATGCTTTGTTCTATCGTGTAGAACTGGATTGTGAGCTATGGAAATAACTGTCTTGTTATCACAATAGACTTTAATAGGTGTTGGTGTCGGAACTTTCAATTCTTCTAGGAGTCTTTTGATCCATAGCACTTCACAAAAGCCATGTGCAACAGAGCGGAATTCTGCCTCTGCACTTCTCCTTGCCACAACACTCTGTTTTTTGCTCCTCCAGGTGACCAAATTCCCTCCTACCAAAGTGCAATAACCTGAGGTAGATCTTCTATCGTTTACATTACCTACCCAGTCTGAATCTGTGTAGGCTTCTACTTGGAAATGACCCCTATTTTTGAACAAGAGTCCTTTCCCTAGAGTTCCTTTCAGATATCTCAAGATCCTAAACACGGCTTCAAAGTGAGTAGGTCCAGGTAAATGCATAAACTGACTTACTACACTTACTGCAAAGGCTATGGCGGACTTTAACCTCATGCATCTTTTTCTTAGTCCTTGTTTGGTTTTGCTAAAAATCAGTTTTTTTAGTAGATTTTGATAACAGTAGATGAAATGGGTGGTTGAGAAGTTGATAAAAGTTGTTGGTTCTATGATATGTGTGATCAAAATTAATTGTTGACTTTGATTTTGACTTTTATCAACATTTTTAACTAATCCAAACATCGGCTTAATATACTGTATTGTGTTAATTGACTATTTTATTTGTGGCTGATGCTTGAAGGTTACGGAAAATCCTCTCGGAGCAAACAGAAACTGCAATAGGCCGCGAGAAGCTTGTGAAAGCTTTGGAAGAGCTGCAGGCTCAAGCTGAAATAGGATTGTGTTTTGTTGGTGTCAAGCATTGAATTTAGTTACAATCTCTCTCTCTCTCTGTTAGATCCCGTTCTTTATGCAAATAGATTATTTGATTCATTAGGAAAAAAATATGTAATTTGTCAATTTTGATGGAAACAATGTTAGAATGCTATGTATTTTAAGTCGGTTCGTCTACTGGGGTTCTCAATTTTGTGGTTGATTGCTACTCTACTAACAGAAATCACGAAACACAGTGTAGGTTTCATATGTAGCATTTGATAGGACGATACAATCTCATCCAATCAATATGTTCTAATATGCAATATTTAGATACGATTGGACATTATAATAAATGGTGTATAGTTTTGTTGATCAAACATGCAGAAGTACCGAAATAGTTCAAACAATGAAATATGAATTTTTCGTTAGCCAATACAGTATTAACAAGATATCTCCTAGCTCTACTACCTATAGAATGTCATTCACAAAACTAAATCAGATAATAAAATTTTAAATGCCTCTTCTTCTTCTTTCGAATCCTTTTTATTTTGTCAAGAATGTATGTTTGGTATGTAATTCGATAAGATTAGATAAATCTTATATTCTTTTTTTGATATCATGTACTATCCATTTCTCGATTAAATATGTCAGAGTAGCTAAATTGTTCCCACAATGAAATATCCAATATTCAAACAATATTTAACAAAATATCTTGCACCAAGAAATAGTTGGTTCTTTTGACATATGGTACTAGGCATGTGATCCATTGAAAAAACGTGGTTCAATACAAAAGCAACTACGTCAAAACTCAAAAGCTTCGTCTATGTTCACAAGTTTTTGGCTCCCTCGCGGAAATAGAAAAGATTCCTGTTTCAACAAATTTACAACTCTAAACCTTGTCTTTTGCATTGCTAAAGCTATGATATCTTTAATAGAGAAAAGTCACAAAATCAGTGAAATAATGTATTACAGTTTCATCAAGAATCAAGTCAACCACGATGACATAGTTTGTTGTTAAATAGGATAGCATAGTACAAGCAACGTGCAACATTAGAATAATCAAGGATCTAGTCTCATTGTTATACTTTTCCATACATTTAAATTTGAAGATCGGTGTTGAAATAACATATAATTATGTCCCTTGTGACTTTCATTGTTGACTTGTTGGGACTTAATATTTCTTTCAAAAGGTTAATTCATTAATAGTTCAATTCCCTTGTAAACTCAAAATGCTTAGTTTTCTAGAACCATTAAGGTTTGCAGCCTAAGATAGGCATAACCACTTAGAAAACAAACATTATGTTTTTTCTACTATGCATGGTGTTCCAACTCGGGGATCCTTACATTCGTTCAACTACAACTAGAGATTAATCTTTTGCATTCACATGCCTAACTTTAGAGTGTTACTCTGATATGATTTGTTGAAATTTGAAGTTCTATTTCAAAAGTTAACGTTTTAGGAGTACCACAAAATCCCCTTATAAACTTAAAACCATTCTCATGTCCAATTAAATGTGGGACTTGTATTAGCACTTCTAAGGTTTCAGTTAAGGTGGTTTTACATAATAAAGTATTTTGAAGTCCCACAAAACCTTCTCTCTATGTATATATTCCAACTCAAAATCAGCTCCAACTTTCGTCTCTAAAATCTGTTTCTTCATCTCTGCAACAGAGGAAAATAACCGTGAATAGCGATGAACAAATGCAAATTTTAGGGTTTTCAACGTAGACTAGAAGCCTTCAAAATCATTTACAAATGGGAGCATCAAAATCACTCTTATCTTTAATCCTTCCTCTCCCCTTCTTCTTCTTAGCTCAAGTTGAAGTAACGCAAGTACCATACTGAAGTATAACGCATAACGAATTTCAAGTATACCGTACCCGCGCCTGTCTGAGACGCCAAGATACAACAAGCTTTCTGATCTGATATCATCTGAATGGACTACCTATTTGGTTTTCAAGATTGTGTATTTCATCATCTTCCTCATATTCTAAACTTCTGAAGTTGCATTCATTTACACTTCTCGAGAGAACAGATTCAAGAAAATCATGAGTTGTCCCAAAAGTGTGGAAAAGACTCGTGCACTCTCTTAACTTTCTTTGCCTATAACATAATCTTCTTACTGACGCTGATTTAGTGGGATGTTACCCTCGAAAACAAGCCAACCTGAGCCGTGTTTTTCTTGATCATTTCGGGTTTTATGTGGTAGGGTTTGTTTACATGACTTGTTTGGCATCTGGGTAGTGTTATATCAGTGCTAGAAAATTCATGATTGAAGCCATGTTTAGATGGAAGGAAAGTTTTGCTGCAATACTTATATTTTCAAATTTGAACCCTTCTTAGTTAAAAACATGTGTCCAGGAATTTTGTTGTATGCGGATGGAAATTTGGGATTATCACCGCCAAGATATAGATATAACAGTTATTTAAGATCATCTGGAGGTTTATTTGGTAGAGTACGTTTCTTTGAAGGCAATGAATGTTCAGATGGAGTGTGTTTAGCTATTTACTGCTGTTAGGGACGAGGACAAACAATTTCAACTCAAAACGGAACTAGGTAAGGAGTCGGTGCACTATCTTCTTCGGATTCTAGCTGAAGATATTCAATTATGCAATATCCCAGTTCCAGAAATTCATAGCAGATTTACGCAAATAGGCATAGAAATATTAAAACAAACCTTTTCCTATGATGCATTTTTCAGATTCAACAAGATTGCACAAACAACCAGAAATCTCCTTCGATTATAGACTGCAAACAAACATAAGATCTTCCGAAAACTCTACTCAGTGAGCTAGATGAGGTAAGTACGCCTGTTGCACGGTGTGCTTGTACAGCACAGGCACAATGAACAGAAGTTAAGTTCAGACAGCCACTTATAATCAGGGAATTAGGGATGGCAAAAAAACCCGACAAATAACGGGCGCCCCACCCCACCCTGTTAAATTTATTTATTTATTTATTATTTTTAGAATTCAATACTTTAAATGAAAATTTTCACAAAATTTTATTAGTGCTAATAGAAAATAACAACTAAAATTATTTGTCTAAATCTAATGAATATGAGCAATAAAAATAAATTATCAAAAACTAAAAAAAAAAATTAAACGGGTAGTAAGCGGGACAAGGACCCCGCCTCGCCTTAAACGGGTAACGGGGCAGGGAATTTCTTGGCTGACCCCCCCTCCCCGTTGCTGTCCCTACAGGGAATGCTGGCCAGGGCATGTGTGGAGCGCAGGAAATGAGTCACACAGAGCCTGGCAATGCAGTGCACTGGCTGATGTTCAAATTCGTGAGCCCTTCATCCTCGTACTTGTTCTTTGGAGACTTCTATGTTTCGTGTTTGTTCTTTACTCGACTTTGTTCAAGAGAATACATTGCTCTATCTGTGATGTTCTGACAGTAGTATAGATCGAGGGATTTAAGGTGAAGGCAATTGTTGGCCAGTGCAATTACACTCTCATCTGAAAAGATGCCCATAAATTAGCATGGGACACAGATTGAACCCCCAAATAAGAAGTAATTATACATATAGGCAAATTCTATCTAACATGTCAACAACAAAACATGAAGTTGACCCAAACTTCGAATCTAGTCATCTACCACATAACAAGATAAAATAAGAAAAAGAAGCTAAAATCTTCTCTATCATAATGTATAGTACTATCAAATATTGCATATCAAACATGCACAAAGGTGACAAGCCAACTCAAAGCTCAATATCAAACCTTCCACCTCCATATTTCATTTTTCCGATTAACATGGTATGCTCAAGTCACTAAAATCAAGAGTCGGATGTTGAGGACTAATGAAATGTCATGCCAAAATTCTACGTCTAGTATCATTATCATCTCTAATATCAACAATTCAAAGAACTAATCCAGCAAGCTGATTACAATTACAGCCGAATTTGGAAAAGCTCCATCTCCAGGAGCTCAACACGTCTTTCTTAAAGTAGGGTTTTTTCTTAAAATTGTTTTTGAGGATGCAGAAGGTCAAAACTAATTTTTAATTCAAAGGTGAAATATGCTGCAACATTAATTGGTGCAACATTAAATATGCCCCAAAATCTCTGATACCAATTGTTGGGAATTTAAGGATCGCGCATTACTTACCACTTGATATGAAATCAACCACCGGATTAAGATGTTAAAGTTATATGACAAAATATGAAGTATATGATCGCAAGCAAAAGAATAAAACATAACAGGAATATTAGGAGATTTTATTGCACCACAAATAATAAAGATTGAGAAATATTACAATAATTCTAAAAATTAGTAATCACTTTTTTCACTCTCTAAAATTATATAGAAGAACCTAATATTTATAGGGAACCTGTAGGGGACGTCCAAACCCTCATAGTAGAGTTGTTAATGAAGTAAGATGCCAAAAATCAAGTCCAAAACAAAAAACAAGAAAAAACCCGTAAAAAATCCGGAATAGACAGGTGGCGCTAGAGGCAAAATATCCAAACAGGGGCGTCGGCGCCCCATGCCCGGCGCTGCGATGTCGGGTGTTTTGTCCTTCCTCCCTTTCGTTTTTTTCTTTTCAAGTTGTTTTCTTCATTTTAAAGTCTTTTTCCAAGCGAAACTCGCAATAGGGCTTCCAAATAGAATTTCAACTTGAATAAGACTCCAAAAACATTCCAAACTGAATTCCCCTTAACGTGCACTTCAATTATAATTCTTCAATTACTTCAACAAGAAATTCAGGTCACACTCAAATTCTAACAATCTCCACCTTGATACGAATTCCAATGCAACGAACAAAGCTCCAAAATTTTCTCCACCTGGAGAAGAAGATCTGTCTGGAAGGAATGAACTGACTCTTCAACAATAAACAAAACTGATTTTTTCAACCAAACACAAAATACTTCATCTTCCAATGAATCCAAGCACTACTCTGCAGAATTACCTCTGATTTTAAAAAAATCATAATGATTTTAAAATTCACTAAATTTGGCTG